ACAATTTTAATATAAAAAATTGTAACTAATAATAAGTTAATACATATATAGTATTAATTTATATTAGCTACAATTCTTTTATATTAAAATTGTAGCACAAAAGTATTGGAATTAATCAGGACTGTTGGCTGCGTCTAACCTTATATTAATCACTACAAATTCAAATACTTTTTCTTAGGAACGGAAAACAAGAATATTGGTATTAGCATTAATTTAATGCTAATACTAATGCTAATACGACACCCCTAATATCAGTACCTGCATCCATACCCATACCTTTATACGTATAGAGTCGGTGATTCTAATTCTGCTGCAAAAAATCTTGACTTCACAGTGGTTGATTTATAACTCGACTAGTTATCATCGAACAGAACTAACCATTAGTCATCCAAACAGAGTGAACATGTCTACATCAATCCATATATCTTTGATCATACAAAAAGCAGTCACTGTTTCATGCGAGCCATAACAACACTAGCAGGGTCGAGATTTTTTCAATTTTACAAGTGTTACTAATTGTGTCGTTGGGGATATTTTTTGTTTCTACTTCTTTCATTCCTACATCAAATAAAATGTTTTCAACATGGAACAAGATTTTATGAACAATTAGTTTTTTCCATAATCTTGTTCATAAAATCTTGTTCTACGTCGAAAACATTCTATTTGACGTAGAAATGGAAGAGATAGAAGCAAAAACATACTTCCAGCGACACAATTAGCACCATGTGAAAATTTGAAAAAATTTCGACCCTAATAGTGTGGTTATGGTTCGTATGAAACAGAGGCTGCTTTTTATATGATCAAATATATATGGATCGATGCAGACATATTCACTCTGTGCAAGAAATTAATGATTAGTTCTGTACGATGATAACTAGTTGAGTTGTAAATCAACCATTGCATGGTCAACATTTTTTGCAGCAGAATTAGGACCACTGACTCTATATGTATACTCATATACGTATTCACTATTTCAAAACATGAAACCATCGCTGATGGCCATAAAGTCAGACAATAAAACTTTCCTGCTTTTTTTTTGTTATACAAAACTAGTAATTCTATTGTTTCCTAACCTGTTCCGGCGATCGTTATACCAAAATAAGCACCATTTGGCCACAATTGAACTCTATGATTCCAAATGTCTGCCACATAAAGATTTGCGTTAGAATCGACGACTGCACCTTGAGGCACTAGCAAAAAGGCAGCTCCAGAACCAGCAGTACAGTTGGCTTGGCCAGCCACTGTTATACCATTGGTTGCACCACGAATCCACTTCTGGATTCTATGATTATATTGATCACTCACGTAGATTGTACCGTCAGAATCAACAATTACACCAGACGGCTGATTGAGTCTCTGTGGACTGCAATCCGAAACGGCAGTTGTACCAGCTACAGTTATGCCACTGGCGTTCCAACGGAATGAGTTTGTGATAGCTATTAAAACATTATAGAGAAAAGCAGCATTTAGCTGCTTCTAATAACTCTCGAGAAAGCATTTGGGGGCATAGTGAACTAAATACGTTAGCTCAATGTTAAGCATCATATACTGAGAATCAAAGCCTGTAATTTGAATAATTCGAAAGAAATCCATCATTGAAATCAATCTTAATGTTCTACAAACTGATGTAATTCAACACTTTTATGCATACATATACTAGTTCAAATAAGAATGTAACAAAATTTTAATTAACGGAAGTGTTCAAAAACAACAGATATCCATATTGTAATTAAAACAAGAGGGTTTGTTGTCAATAGTCACTCAAGTTTTACATTTGTGTACTTTTAATTAAAACATCGTTATTCGACTCAAAAATGCAAGATAAAAAGCAATTTGTAAAATTTCATTATAAAGTTTTGATGAAAGAAAAAGAAAAGCCTATTTCCACTGTAACAACTCGTTTTTTTTATATTCGATCTATAAATACATATTCAAACATCATTTATTTATTTAAAACAGAAAATTCGATGCAAAGTATCATACATGAAATAATCATAGCTATCACAGTTCATAATCAACGAATCAATGAAAAGCGGAATAGTTTATGCTTGGTTGATCGATATTTTATCTGCACTGGGTTGAACTACGACAACTGAGCGAACGCAAAATAGTGTAAAAAAATTTATAATGAAAAAAACCAAAAATTTTTAAAATGAAAAACTTTCTATTAAACAAATAAGCTAAACAGATACATAACTAAGAATAGGCAGAAATCACTTAACAATCTGTATTTTATTAAAAAGAGACACATGTTTCTCTGATATATACATAAACTTAAGTCTCATAAAAAACTCTAATCAAGTAAAAGATGTTTATTTGATTATATGTCCGCATCCTAATATTTCTATTAAAAACAATTGGAGAAATTCTTCATGATGTATAAGATACTATTCTTTTCTTTTACATATGAATAACTTAATTGTTCAGATATCAATTGCTTGAAACATTATTGTGTTAATATGATCAGTATAAATGTCATCTTTTCATGGAAAGAGTTCAAACATGTTTAAAAACAAGCAGCTTTTGCTCTTTTCTTATCAAATTTTTTCAATAGTTTTAATCGCAACTAATTCCATCATGGCTAACTTTTGTATAGACCTTTTTCTTGTTCTACCATGCTTAGCTGATTCTGAAATGCACTTGAAGTACAAAAAATTGAAGATTATCATTAAAAAAAAGGAGAGATTTGAAGAAACTGATTATTATACTGCTTTTTTTAACCAAATGACAGATAATCGACTTATTGTTGATCTTCATCAAACTGTAATTGAATATCTGTCAAGCTCTTTTGTTTTTCAGTATATCATTTGTTTCTTTTCTTATCTATTTATATGGTTCGAAGAATGAAGCCAATATAGGTATCTTCATTCGGTTCGACTTGGTTTCGACCTTTGAAAAGTATTTGGTTGATAAAATAGGAACACTTTCAGAATAAAGTAGTGTAAAAGGTGAAGAATCTCAATATTTCATGTGATACCTAATGTGTAAAATAGAAGTGCAGCAAAACGATTCAATCTAAAGACATGATGTAATGGATTTGAGACGGTAAATTCTCACACATTATTTTCCATTCCATTCGAAATTAGCCGAAGTTAAGTATATAGGTTTTCTTCGAAGTTAAAAATCATATCTACACAAGCTCTATCTTTCGGAAAATCTAACTCTAAATCACTAGGTAAGAATGAGTATGATTATTTAATTTATGGACTTCCACAAAGTTAATAAATACATTAGGTCTTGTGGATTTTTTTCTAGGGATCGATTAAATTTTATTTGTCTACTACCATCCATCTCAACATTTGATGGTACTATTATTGTGTATCATATTATTAATCAACTTATTCTATCTGATATTTTAACTAAAAAATCATTCGATAATACTATTATGATTGTGATAGGGAATACTTCTTTATTCTCTTACCCGGTAAACAATGTGTACCATTCCATTGCATTGTTTGATTCTGACGACACTCTTGTTCATAGCTTACTGTGGTATAACTATAACTATCCTCATATTGACAAACTGTTCCATTATAAACCTGTCCAGTTTGGCATGTCCAAAGACCATCATCTGTACAAGATAAATATCGGTTAATATCATGTGAAATATTACATGATTTTTGATATAACGAGTAGAGTTCGGTGGTTTGTTGCACATAACCGACTCGTGAAGTTGATGATGTTGATGGAACAAATGTACCTTGATCAGCCCAGATAGAAAATAAGCGACATACATGAGATGATGCATCATAATCGAATGTTTGACATATTTTCTCCATTGAACAGATCATTGCACATCGAGTAATTGAAGGAACATTTAATCGATTCGAATAAAGATCATTAATATTGCCATATTGAAATTCTATGCCGAATGGAGTTAATTGAAATCGAACTTTGTATTGTTGTTGGTGAGTAACCAGAATAAGTAATTTTAGAAAAATAATTGTAATAATCAGCATATTTTATTCTCAAAGATCAATAGCAAGTGTGCACTTGTCACTGAAAACGAATTACCTATTATTTAAATGAAATTAAATGTTTCTTCTCTTCAGCAAGTAGAATAAATTTTGAGACGACAAAAGAAAAATATTTCTTCTTTCATCTACACGCTGTATTGTGCTCACATTCATTTCTTTCGTAAAGGAAGAGTGTGGAAGAATAAAACTTTTGAATACGGGTGCGCCTTTCGAAGTAACAACAATTAGCTAAGAATACAAATGTTTATGGAAAAAGCATTATAAGAACATAAGTGATTATGATTTTAGCGTCACATGTTTTCAAGTTTCCTTAAGGACAAACAAATAAAAAAAAATAACGCAATCACTGATAATGATTAACATTTACGTTACATACTTTTAGATGTTTCGTCAAGAAGGTATCAATAATTCCTTTTATCATTTCTATTTTACTATTAATTCTTCACTATACTACCATTAGTTTTGGAAAGTGTCCTCGTGAGAAAAAACAAGTTCAAAGGCATTTGCACAGATTAAAAAAGTTTCTTGAGTCTTTTTATTATTTAATTAAAAGACGATGGTGGATTTCCGAAAAAAACAACGGCCCTATTTGAAAATTTCAAGAAAAACCCTAAATATTATATATCGTGTGAAAGATAATTATGTTCACTATCTATCTGTACAATAACTGTAGCTACGGTATAACTTTTCGACTGACTCGATTATACACATGGTGAATCGTATATGATGTATTGTATGTACAATAACTCTCATAAGATACTGTATCACCATATCGATTGAAGAAACCACTATTATATATCATTCAATGTGTCATCAAATATAGAAACAGATATAATCGAATGGCAATGTGAAATACTTGTTTCTTTATTATTTGGAAAAATACTACAATCATTTTTTTGCGCATAGATAGCTCTTATTATAAAAAAGAAATTAATATCGAGCTTTCAAATGCTTGGGAAGTATCTTATATATTATTATTGTATAAATATTGTTAAAATATCAAATGTAAACAAAACGTGTGGGAAATCATAATATAATAAGAACACTTTCACTTTTGTTTCAGAAAAGTTTATTTTTAGTTTTTCTATTTTGACACTTATTATTAGATCAATCTGTGAAAGCAATTAATATTCAAGATTCTGAATGTTAAAATCATTTACTCTAACATTCCTAATGTAATTATCATATTCTTGAATAAGAAACATTCTTCTACATACAGAAACATCGATGTTCTTTTTATGATAAAAATAAATAAAATAATATAGAATGAAAAACACAATGACTATTATAGAGTAGAAATTGACGCTTGGTCTAATAAGTATATAGAAAGGTTATGTAGTAAATTTTGATCTGCTGAAGCCATACTCTTTTTCTTAGATGCTTCAGAAGTGGAAGAATCTTATATTCACTATATATGTACTAGATGTCTAGATCTAATCTATGTTAGAATTTGAGCTTTCTATTTATCATTAATATAGATATACAAGCAATGTAAAATTCATGGAAAGTATTGAATAATTATTGGAAATAACAAGTAACGCATCAACAAATATAGTGTTAACATCTTGAAATTTTTTTCTGTTCTCTACATTTGACCAATATATGTTTTTTTCCACAAGATTGCATTTCAAATTCTCTAGAAATCAACACATATGACTTGATTTAAAGATCGTTTTGAAAACGTATAGTCAAAAAATGATGGAAAAAGAAAGACATTTAAACGGATGTAAATACTAAGTATGCGCATGGTGATGGATTGACGAAAATCTGTCGAGATTTAAGTGAGACCAGGGTGTGGATGTGGGTGAGAATGAATTGATGGCCCATACCCACATCCAATTCGAGACTGAAGACCAGGAATATGTGGAGCGATTGGAGGTCATAACATATCATTGAATACTGGTGCAACCATACCTTGTAGAATGTGGACAAGTTCGTCGTAGCCAATTTCGTGCGTCATTATTCCATGAATAGAGATAGGAGCGAGGGTACGTAGACGAGCAAACACAAGAATGTAATTCGAACGAGATTGAGCATCGAATAACGTTTAGTTAATGCCGATCACTTTATATATGTTTGAAGGCACCGATTAAGAAGCTAGACAAAGATTGAGATCATTTTATTTCAACTTTGTTTTCATCCCTTTGGTGAAGAAAAATGATCTAGAAACTAACTATTGATTGCCTGGTTATTACATAGTAGCAGTTAGAAGCCAATCAAAACGAAACAGAAAGATATATCAATATGAACAAGCTAGCATTATTTTGACGAGATTTGAAATGTATTTAAATAATCAGTAGCATACTTATCAGAAGTGAAGATTACAAATTTATGATCAATAGGCTATAGGTCCACCCTACTTTTGACAGCGTTGATAGAAAGACATTGATTAACAACTATTTTATCGACTTTAGAGAAAAATCACTTCGAAAAAAATTTTCAAAAAGAATTCTTTTCACAATTTTTCAACAGCTTTTCGCTGAACGAACTATATTTTTCAATAGTCTGTCAAGTTAAGAATTCCCTTACTGTCGATTTTACTGGCAATATTACATATGCTTTGATCTTTATTTAAAATCACATTAAAGTAAAGAAAAATTTGCATTTCTTGCAAGCTTGCTTTGGGTTTCCATCATATAAAAAGTCCAAGCGTAGTCACTTCCAGTGGTAAAGTACAACGTAACTGATGTATTCCTGTACTTACCACCAGAAAAGGCGAGTTCTAATTGTACTATGTAAAATTCGTCATTGCTTGAAAGAAACTTTCTGTAATATGATTCAAAAATTTTCACCTTCAGCGGTGAACTATACCATAACGAATGAACTTCCGCAGCTATCGCCAGAAAAGGTCTATTCTATTTTATTTTGATAAATTTTTAATCTTTTGAAATGAATTCTCTAAAGAATGATTCAAAAAGTTGCTACCATCGGCAACGAAGAACAAATTGGAAATCGATCTTTCAGTTACTATCAGAAAAATGATGAAGTTTTGACTCTATTATGAACGTTGTTAAGTTTGCATCTCACCTTTTCCCGAGATTAGAATGAAAGATAATCGAAAGATGATTAACAATGGCCAATTCGAATGCAAACATATTTCACATAACTGAGCAAAATATTCGGAATTCATCAAATAGGAGTCCGTGAATGATACTCATAAAATAAGACCCATGAACATTTTTTTCTATTTCCTCAGTAAAGTCTCGTTCCTTACAGCCACGGCAATGTTTAATGTTGTGTGCATCAGATGTAAGTTCACGAATGGAAATTGTGCAAAAAGCGCTTACTCTTTCCAAAATATCATCCACGATTATTCATACCTCTTTGCTAATTTGTTCGTCCACAGATTTATTGGGTAGCTCAATAAAATGAATTATATCTGCCATAGCGGCCAGCTCCATTTCTAAAGAAATTTTCGTCAGTGTCAGTATACGTACAAACAAGAGATTCGCTGTTTGTATGCTAATCTGATTGAATTCTTTAACTTCATTATAGGGTAACCCAAGTGTTGTTTGGAATAGTTGCATTTGAAATAATTTTAAGCGCAGGGAACGAAGCTTGATATAGTTTGGTTAGAACTGCAAATAATTGATGATCATTAGTTGAAAGTGTTGAGTTTCGAGGATATAAAGTTTCATTCAAGTAGGAACTAATTGTAAGAACAAAATTACGGAGTGCTGGAGAAAGCTGAGAAGGATGAGGAATTTGGCGTGTGGTTGAAATGGGCGCCAAAATAATGATATCGACTTGAAATACGTACAGGAATAAGCATGACATTTTCAAATTTGTCGTTCAATCACTAAGAATTAAGACGTATGAGACACATAACAGTAGCTCATGCAAAATAAACAAACAAAATCAACAATTGGTTTAACAAAATGTCAGTCCTATGTTGAGTATCGATATTAGTTGATGAACAAACAGTGATTGTATTTGTAAGAATCGCATATGTTGTTAGAATACTATTCTAACCAAGAATAATGAAGACACTTGCAAGAAGATGGTATCGAAACCTTTTTAGCTTCGGTTTTTCAAAGTGATCAAATGCTGATGAAATTAACTTTTTTTAAAATGGAGTCAAAGAATCAAAAAAATTAATTTTTGCATAGTATTCTGCGTGAATGAAATTGAAAACATTATCTTTTTGTATCTTTTTCGTTTTCAAAAATCGTAAAACAAATAAATATATACCTAATGTAACGACAATAATAAATAAAATTAAAAGAAAAGATTGTTAGAGATCAAAAATATATCAGCTGTTATTGACACTATTCTATATCAAATATTCATCTTTATTTAAAGAAAACTAAAGAAAAAATTCTATACTATCATACAAGGTATCATTAATTCATTCTAGGCTGTTCAAATTGATTTCGTACATAGTGCAGTTCGATTTCATTCATCAAATAATTTGTATACAATTGCCAATATTTTCTCTATAGATTTTATTAAAACATATATTATATTTAAAAAAAAGATTAAGATAAAATGTGCTTCACTACCAAATAAAAAAGAAATAAATTGAAGTTTAAAAAAAAATAGTTAAATGCTGAGAAAAGTAAGTACAGTAAAAATAAGCATGATTATAGCAAAAATCACTAGACAAAGACGATCGATGACCATTGCCACAAATTGCCAGTCTTGAGATTTATCATCATCTTTTTCTTTTTTTCGAGAATAATTAATAAGAATATCAAGTTGAGAAATAATAACACCTAGTTCAGAACGAATCATTGTCATATCACATGTATACAATTCTTTCGATGTATTCTGATGATGATGAGAACTGTAAATTTTCCTTGTTGGAGGTACGGTAAATTCTAATAACAAATCTGAGCGTTGTTTTTCTCGATTATCTAATAATTTCAAAGGTCTCTTGTCAACATTTATACGATTAGTTGATAACAACTCGAATGTATTATTCAACAATGGTTCAGAAGAAATCTTAGAATAATGATTATCGAACAATTTATTTCTATTATTCGATTCTTGTTTTAGAGAAGTCCATTGACGACGACGAATTCCATGCCAACTTAAATCATGATTAGGACGCTTCATAAATAATAGCCATGCCAAATAGTTACAAATATATTTACGAACCTGAAATGATCTCTGAAATTATATGATTTATCCATTTTAAAATATGATTTACCCATAATGACATTGTATGATTTTTAGAGTTTCGAAAATGAACTGATAATATTAATACTGATGCAACAACTGAAACCGCTGACATAATCATAATACACATAAAATAAGCAGTAATAATCGGTATAGCATTTGAACTTGGTGGCAGAATTTCTGATAGAAGTAAACTGAACATAACAACAGTTAGAAGAGTTGTTATATCTGAAGATTTAGAATGTATAAAAACAAATTTTTTATCATCAAATTTTAACTCACGTAACGTTAATTTTTCACCACTATCTGGTGATAATAAAAATCCAAATATTGTCATACAACTGATAAGAAAACAAGGTACTATGAAACGAAAAAAACAATAATATTAATGAAAAGATTAGAAAATGTTGTAATTTATATTTTATTACTGACGATATTTGTAAGGTAATAAAGAGAACGTCGACGTATTCGGATAGTGTATAGTACATATGGGTACATACTTGGACAACATTCGTATCGGCTGCGATTATTCGTTGCAGAGAAATCTAAAATGGAATGAATAGAATAAAATGTACGTAACCCATATCAACTACCTTCGAGATCCCATTCATCACTTTTGACATATGCATCTAATTGACCTTTGCTACTTGCTGCTCTCAGATTGACTCCTAAATAATAAAAAAAGCACATAACATGCAGAAATATTTGGCATTTCATCTTAGAAAAAACAAAATGATTCAATCACATACCAGCATCATCATGTGTCCAAGATCCAAATTTCAGCTTACAATATTGTGTGTCCAAAAAAAAAGACAAACATTCAAGATAAAAGTACGATATGTGTGACATATTTTTTTGATATTTACAAATGGAAATGCAGCAATATTAAATGAACAAATTGCTTTGCATGATACGGGCGGAACCCATAGTATATTGCCATCATATTGCACAACGGCATTGACTTTCACTATAGTATCAAACTTTTCATCGGCACTTTGAACAAAAAAATAACAAGTACCGTTTTTCAAGACATCTATTCTTTGAAGAATAATTACCTATTGTATAGGAAAATATCTGGTGTCCAAATTTGTGTACTTGGTATTCGTAGTGTTTGAATATTACCAAACTCTTCTGGTTTCCATCTTAAACTATAATCATTCCACTTCTATACAGACATATATGAACAATAGAATCAGATATTATAGCTAGGCATGCAACGGTGACGGTAACCGGTCCTAATCAGAACTCGGTCCATCGGTCACTGATTCTTACTGGGACTATACCCATCAGTAACCGGTATTAGGCTAATACTGCTTTATACCGGTCTATATCGATCCATGGCAGATTATAGTAAAGTCAGTTTTTCAAAATTTTGAGGTTGAGTTTTTTTGAATCAGGAAAAGGCTTTTTTCGTTTATCAATTTGGGTCACAGGCAATTGAGACGAAGAAATCCAAATCTGTTATTGATTTCTCGAAGTTCAGTGTTTAATTTTTTTACAAACATTTTGTACTAAGAAAATGAGTCTTTTAGTGGAACAATAATTTTTTTATAAAAATACAATTTTTCGTAAAAGAAATTTTTTGAAGAAAAATCAAACTCGGAACTTCAAAAACCGATTGCAGGTTCGGATTGCTTGACCCTGATTAACTTTGGTCAAACTTTATAAAAAACTGCTACTTTCACAAAAGAGCCTTTCCCTGATGGAAAAAAATCAAATTCAAAAATTTCGAAAAACCAAGTACACCCTAAGCCGATATAGGTCGGTATAAACGAGTACGAGCGGATATGGGTCGGTATAGACCGGTTACTAGAGCCCATCGGATCCCGATCTAAAAATTTCTACTTGTCGCGTCCAAATCGAAAAGACTTTTTGACGGACACCATGATATTTTACGAATGTCTTTAAATTTTTGTTCGTTTTCTTCAAAAAACCTTAATGTATTTATAAAAAAAACACATGAGATTTTTTAGCTTGTAAAGTGTGATTAACTTGTCATCATTTTTTATTACGTCGGTAAGTTTCTTCTTTTTTAGAAAGAATTTATACTATTTTTTTTTTAATATAGATGATTCAGTAGAAAGCAAAGTATTATTGATATTAGAATAATTATTAAATAAGGAAAATAATGTAAAATCTTTATAATGCATATATTCATTCTTCTATCAGGAAATATTGGATAGGAGCGAGAACTAATTGTAATTTAATTATTATGGGATCACTATCGAATCGTTTAAAGAATATGTAAAATATGCTTAGCGGTGTCATTTTACTGTCAATTTAGAATAAATATAAATCATCGGTAATTTAATTTATGCATAAATTAAGTTAAAAATAAATATGAATTGAGATTCCTAAGTATGCTACTAATCTAACGAAAAAAAAATGAAAAGTATATCGTATCTTCGGAGGAACAATCAAAATCGAATTAGAAAAGTTTATTAAGAGGTTTAAGAGTGCAGTTCTAGTTCGGACTCACAATAAATGAATCAATCAGATCCGGATCCAGAAATTCTTGGATCCAATGGGCTCTATCGGTTACCGATGAACCAAGTCGAGATAAGAACTGATTACCGGTGAAACAGTTGCTAATTTGAACCGGTAACGGTGAAGCGGTGATTCACCGTCACTGTTGCGCATTCCTAATTATAACTAAGTATACATACGATAGTCATCCAGCCATTAATGACAATAGCTTCGTTCTTTTCATCCTATTTATATTTCAGAATTGAAAAAACATGAAAAACATATATTTAATTTCGCTTACAAAATCAATGATATGTTGTAAAGCAAAATTTATAGTAACAGGTAATGTATCAGAATCATTTTGAACAGGTCGTGCAATTGGTTGGTATCGATTATCAGCAAATAGATAGTTTAATAAACGAAGTTGATCAGGACCTCCAACTAATATTCATCATGTTTTTGTTTTCGAAGAAATTCACTTACTCACTTGTGAAATTGAAACAGTAACATGTAATTAGGAGAAATATTTTTAATTGTCGTTGAATTGTATGAAACATTTTCTTTGAAACTAAGAAGACAAGACAATATATAGAATTTTTTATTTGTCAAAATTTTTTTCACAAATGCAGAAATATAAAATGTCGACAAGAATACAGCAGCAGACTTCATCAGATCTAGAATTTTGCAATTCTGAACAATACTCCAAACATTCTTAATGAAATTTTCATATTTGAATCTTATAGTCGCTTCGAACATGTAAGATACTTTTTTCTCGATTATTTTTATTCATTTTGTTAGCATCTATTAAGAAATTTCAAGAAAAGATTCAAAAGAAAAGCAAAAAGTACCTTTACTTCTAGCTGAGCTTTCAACTCGGTTTTTTAAGCTAGTATCAATTGAATGAGTATAAAATGCATGAAAAATGAAGTGACATTTGATTCCATAGAAAAAAAACAACATATATACACACATTTTACGATAAGACGTCTGACAAAATGTTTCGATTATTCGTGCCATGATAATGACTTATAGTGTAGATCTAACAGAACATATCATTGACTTAAACTAATACAGAAATATTTCTTTTTTTTAATCTAATTAAAACGTCTTTAACAGTAAAAATCGAAATTAAATGATAAAACGATAGATTTTAAAGTATTGTCAATAATTTAAACACATTCAACCATAATATAATACCTTACTGTATTATCTATACTAATAAAATATTTCTGCATTACTATAAATCAATGTTTTTTAGTATAAAATCTCCATTTGTTATTAATGATTTCGATAATGATTCAAGACAATAATGATAATATTTAGGGGTATCCAAAAGTAGTGGCAGTGACACTTTTATATCATGTAGTACCCTTTAAGAAACTTTTTCTCTATATAGTCTAATAGAGAAAAAAATGCTCTATTTTTCTATGCTATTTGATCATACTTCAACCAATATTATAATAATAAAATTTCGATAAGATCTATTTTGTTCCCATATGTCACGGTTACATGAATGCTAGTGAGTATTTTTCGAATAACTTTTGTTAGAAGCAAGATAGAGAATTGTGATTTTCACTGTTGGAAAGAGGAGATGAAGGCGCATGGAATCGTGTATTACAAGGTTTCCTGATCTGATTTTTTTATAAGTTTTTCAAATGACCTTTTAAGAGCATACCCGTCTGGGAAGTTGTTACTGTGAATTTTCAATTATCAAGTATGGATTCAAATCACTAATCGAAGATCTACAAATTGCAAAAATCTTACATGAATAATATATATTTTAGCGGAACTTCTAATTCTGTTTTCCTGTAATTTATGTGAAAAAACCTCACTTTTATCTCTTCCTCTTCTCTGATAAAAAAAGAATATTTTTCTGAGAGTTAAGAAATCGAATAAAAATGCTTCACAAATCGATATTAGAAAATTCAATAATGCATGTTTCGATGCATCTTCATCTCCTCTTTCCAATAGTGAAAATCACAGTTCTCTATCTTATTTCTATCAAAGGTTAGTCAAAAAATACTCACTAGCATTCATGTAACCGTGACATATGGGAACAAAATAGATCTTATCGAAATTTTATTATTATAATATTGGTTGAAGTATGATCAAATATTATAGAAAAATAGAACATTTTTTTCTCTATCAGACTATATAGAGAAGAAGTTTCATAAAGGGTACTATATGATATAAAAGTGTTACTGCCACTACTTTTGGATATCCCTAGTAGTTAACACCTATTATGGCTAATGACCAATTGTAATGAGAAAAAATCCTAATAATCATGAAATAACATTAGCGTTAAACTTACATGCAAAAAGCAAAGAAATGATGGTTGTCGAATACTATTCGCACTTAAATATAATTGTATAAACAATCCTATTCTCCAGTTTAAATGAAGACCGATAAAGAAAGATAAACATTATGTAATTAAGAGCTGAAAGAAAGATAAAGATTAAGTAATTAAGAGATGAAAGAAAGATAACGATTAAATAATTAAGAAACGACTCATTCATCATTCTGTCATGGTTGAGTGACAGAAAATATGAATAGAAAAAATACGTATGTCACAACAACCATAATTATGCCTGAATAGAATTATAGTCCTTTCCAAGCTTTCTTACATTTCGTTAAATTTCATGTTTCACATGTAGATTTTTTACCGTAATCAGACAGCCATCAAACATATGACATCACTTTATTCGGAAATTCGATTGATTAGACAGCAATTGCTAATGATTTTTTTTAATTACTAGTGTATGTGAAGTGGAAAACAACGAAGAGAGATATTTCATTAAATTGTTAGTTCTTTTTTTTTGTTTTATAAATTCACTATGATTTAATTCGGGAAATTCAATCAAATCGAAAAAAATTGTGTAACTGTATTTGATTTTTTTCATGAACCTATTTATCAATTATTCGACATGAGATTATATATTGGTTTTTATTAATTTACTTAAATCTATAATAAATATAAATGATTTTGTAATATTAAAAAAGTTATAATAGGTCAAAAATTTACTAAAAATTTTTTTCTTTTTTTTTGTTATTATTGGAGTAATATATTTCGATTATGAATATTTTTCACTAATAATTCAATCGCTACAATTCATTGGTCTCGAATTCAGGCTGAAATTTTGATTTTTTTGTTTTTGTTTTGGCGTTTTTTGCTCTTTTGTAATTTTTTTAATCTATTAAAAGATATTTATTATGTATTACGGCTATAGTCATATAGAGATTAAGACTCAGTACAATTTAACATATTTTAAAAAGTAATACTTATTACCAAATAGAAGTGATGAATTATTTTATGCATATGTGATATTTGTCATATCTTAATTTTTAAAAAAAAAACACTCACTTATTTCTTTTTTTTTCTTGTCTGAATATTTACGTATACGTATATAGTAGCTATGGCTTGTCAATAGGGATTTATTTAATTGTTCTTATTTGTGTAGTTACAAAATAAATGATCATTAGATTGCAAATTGAATATTCACTATGGATAGTGTTGAGTATGACGACTATCACTTGAGATGACCAGAAAAGAAACATATCTACTCATAGATGCTGAGACATCTTATTAACAATGATCCTTTATCAAAGAAGTTTGTATATCATACTAAGAATGCAAAGAATTACTGACGACGAAACGTTCTCAAGTGATCCTATCTGTTTATTCCCATATTTTGTCAATATATAGGAGGTCATTAAGGTAGTGTAACCACTAAAGATGTTTTGCTCGTGTTTAGGTTTGGTCGAGATAACGACTTGTTAAGGATGTAGATATGAATGTGGGTGAGGAGAAGATCGACATCCACACCCATGCCCTTCACACTTGACATGGAAAAGACGTTCAGCTATTGTTTTTCTAATCAAATGAGCAGAAGAAAAACAAGATAAGCAGGTAGAAAAAAAATTCTATTTCTAGAAATCTTATTTGATGTTTACTTGGGTGGTGTTGAAGATATTCGAATCTTAATGCACGGTTATTTTAATTGTAATGAACAAATGCGATTTTGTGTTCAATTTTCATACGTCGAGATTCGAATTTTTATTAAACAAATCTTTCAATCGTTTCTATATAATCATGCAAATGAAGAAGATATCGAAACCGATGAGTAATGTCGACAGATTTGCACGAAGCCCAATTGTATTTGGATTTTCATTTGTTTCACTACCATCAAACTGATCTGAATCACTGAAGATAATGGTGCAAATTGAAAAGAGCTTATTATCGGATGTCTATTCTGACAGAAAAGGTCATTTTATTTCTTTCCAATCCCAAAAACGTATTAGATCCAACAGAAGTCGTTCATCCCTATGACAGTGCTGTGTGTTACAAAGCAAACGCCACTCAACAATTGCTCAAAGACAATGATAGAGAAATTCTCCAGATCTTAACGTAGCAGAACAAGTTGGATCGATTTTGATGGACAAAGTGCAAAGTCTGATAATTAATGAACATGATTCTGGTCGAAATTTTAAAAGGCTGTTGCTGCTTCAACATCTTCAAAATATTCTTCATGAACTTGAAAATGAAAGAGAGATTTTCGAAAATTTACTGAAGTCATACCCTCAACGATTGAGGGTTGTACGTGAAATCAATGGCGGTCACACAAAATACTGATGTATTTTTTTTTATTCAGGTTGAATAAAGGTTTAAATCGATATATTATTTACAATTGTTTTAATTGTACTTACCGCTGTACTTTCTCCCCCCCCCCCCTTCTCCCACCGCCAGCAAAAGGTTATGCACAATCCTGTAGCTTAGAGCAGCAATGTTTCGCATTTTGTCGACCCTTGTCCCGCCTCACATACATACATACATACTAACAGATACACATTTTCCCATGTAATACTCTTTATTGCATAAAAGGGAATAAACAATCGAAAAGCGAAATTGCTTGTTGATAAGCGTTGTCGAGATGTGAGAGCAGAAAGAACAGAAAGAGAGAGAGGAGCAGCGAGCAAATGAAAGAGAGGGAGATCAGCAATCATTAACCACTACTAACATTAGATAAGGAAAGCGAAAGTGTGAGAAAACACCGCCGGTCGTGATATCGAAAACATCGTGCACTGTGGCTTAGTCATTACACTATCATCCGAACAGATAAACTAAGCCTAGACATTGTTCCTCATCTCATTCATTCGTTTTCTGCTCGCTCTAAAGAACATGCGTGTGTTTCGGAATATGCTCCTGACGATGCTCGTCGTCGTATCCTGTGGAGCGAAGGACGTGTCAACACCGGTGCTTGACTTTACGACTGTCTTGAGTCAATACCATTCGGCATCGAATGTAGCCGGTGAAAAAAATCTGATTTGGTCCCCGCTCAGTGTCCATATGGCTCTGGCGATGACAAGCGAAGGCGCTCAAGGAAAAACATTCGACCAACTTCAAGGTGCTCTTCATCTGTCCAACAGACGGGCCATTCGACAATGGTCTTCTACTTATCTTCAATCCTTAAGTGACAAAACCACATCAAACACTCATGTTCAATCTAACTCCAAGCCGAATCGACCAGTTGTCAGGAAAAATGATTCATCTCAAGTATCGATCGCTAATCGATTGTACGTCAACGACAAGTTCATTGTCCAACCTGAATTCAACCAAATTCTGTCCAAAATCTACCAAAGTCAACTTGAAAGTCTCAATTTTGCTCAACCAGAAATGGTCGCAAATCACATCAATAGTTGGGTATCTAATAAAACAAACAACACGATTCCAACTGTTCTGAGTTCGGATGACATTGATCCAGTTCTCACCCGACTCATTCTCGTCAATGTGCTTCATTTCAAAAGTCCTTGGGCATCGCCATTTGATCCTAAACAAACGGTTCCAGAAAATTTTACACTGAGCTCAGGCAACAATGTTCTAGTGCCTACCATGCATGTCATTGATCATTTTGCCTATGCGAAGCAGAGCAATGCTCACTGGATCAATTTGCCCTATGGCTCGACAAATGGCCGGTACGTTTTGACGCTAGCACTGTCCGATGATACACTGAATTCACTTGAGCAACGACTCACCAGCGGAAAAGAACTGACGAATGTTTTTACTCAACTGGACGAAATCCACGAGGACAACCATCCTCGTATTCACTTGTCCTTGCCCAAATTTCGTCTCGAATCTACACTTGACTTTATCGCACACTTAAAGAATTATTACAATGTTACTCTACCATTCGATGCTCAAGAAGCTGATTTCAGTTTGATGAGCAAGAACAAGGAACCATTGTACATCTCAAAGATCGTTCACAAGGCAATGATTGATGTGAATGAGGCTGGAACTGAGGCAGCTGCTGTCACGGCAGTGATCGTCAATGAAAGATCAATGCCTTCACGACCATTCCCTCTCCTGTTTGATCGACCATTTCTCTTCTTTCTGCGTGATCGTGAGACACAAGCACCTCTGTTTGTCGGTCGATATACTGGACGTGAATAGTAGCACGTACAAAGTTAATAAAACATTCGATTTTTTTTCTATAGTTGAGCCAAATGGGAATTATGGATCTTTTTTTGAAAAGGCTTTTTCTAGAATTAAGTTCGAATTCAACAAATAATAAAATAAACGGTATTGCGACCAGCTTTCAAACAAGTAGCTGATGATATGTAGTGGAATCATTCGTGTGTGAATATTAAAAGATGGATGACTGTTAGCAAAGTCTATTTATTGATCAATTCAGACGAGTCAACGTGTGGAGTAGCGAAGACAGATCGATAATAACAGTTAGATGGAGAAAACGTTGCATGTAGAAGTAAAAATGAAAGAACAGTCTTAGCCAAAATGAAGATAGAATGTAGGTGTATTTCGAAATGCTAAAGCCTGGCATGTAAATGCTCCTTATTTTCCTCCATATCCTCCTTTTTTTACGAAAAGGCTCCTCCTTGATATCCTTTGTCTGATAATCTCCTTCATTTTCTCCTTGTTACTATTAATATTTACATAGACAGCTTTTTGTAATATATGTATTCTTTATGAGAACAGCTGAAAAGATTTCTACAAAAACCAAAAATTCTGGAATAACCAGAAAAATATTAATTTATAATCGCATGACATTCTAATGATATGTTTCAATTGTTCTGAAACGTGGCCTTATACAAGGGTAGTTGACATCGATTATAGTGTGATTTATTTTTCTTTTTCCAATTGGTTTGTCATCCACATATTTGACGATTTCTCTTTTACTCTTATCTCGTTTTAATTGCCTGATCAATTTGTCTTCTAAGCTTGTTGATTCTTAGTGCCTTAGACTTGATCCCACTCCCATAGTCTGATCATATTTCTTTTTTGATATTCACTTTAGATTGTACGATAGTTTTCAAATATCAAAGTAAAAGTTGGTTTTATTATTACGGAAAGTAGATGCTCTTATTCTCTGCGTTTGAGGAATACATCTTACATCATCGTTGTATTTGCTTTCGAATGCTCCAAGGGTTTAGAAGATGTATAGGACTAATAATGAAAAATTGTGTAGCTAAAAGACAGGCTCTCTTTCTAAATGTGTTCGTTGTATCTAAATCCCATTGATTTTTGTAACAAAACACCAAAAAAAAAAGAACGATAATATTCATTTTCTCTTTTTCTACATTTGATGTGAAGATTCATCTGAAAGGTGTGCGATGTATCATTCATCACACGTTTTATTTTTTATTTTGCAGAAAAACGTTAGTCAAACATTTAACATTTTGTTTTTGCGATGGAACTCGTTAAACTTATGTTAGTGGTGTACAAAAACTATTGATTTTATTTTTAAATTAAGATGTCATTTCTTAAAAAACCTATCCTTATGCTGCACATACATATGAGAATTAGTGCTTCATCTTTAATGTTGGAAAATTTTCGTTTTTCTCCTGTAAAACTTTTGTATTTTGTTAGTCTGTATCTTCCAAAATCGTCAAAATTATCTCCTAAGTCATCAGCATTCTCTACTAATGCTGATGATCTTAGGACATTTATAAATATTGTGCTGTTTCATCGTAGAATAACTGATTGATGACAAAAATGAAGTAACAATTTGTCAGTTTTATATCCCCATATGCCTAATGATACTTTTGGTAGTTGTTTCAATATTTTTTTTTGTACTCTAGATTTAGGAGTCAATGATATCTAAGCAAATAATTTCCTTTGTTATCTGCATTCTGTTTGTGTCTAGTCTTGAATCACATATTATTCAAGAACGTCAATTGAAGTCGTGCTCATGGTTAGGCCATTGTGCTGGTGATCCATGCTCAACATACAATGATTGTGATGGATCAATGATCTGCTTAAATGGAAAATGCGGTGACGTTGGTAGTACTGTATGCAATGCACCGTGTACGTGGATTGGTCATTGTTGTGGAGATCCATGCTCAACATATGACGATTGTGATGGATCGTTGATTTGTATAAATGGAAAATGCAGCAGTGATTCATCATCAAATGGTAGTGGTGGTGGAACATGTTCACCCTCTGGTGTATTGCAAGGCACTAAGTAATCTTTCTATTTTGTTCGTTTGCATACAGCATATCGAAAGAATTTTTTTTCTAGTACCTTATGCAACACAGAAAATTTCTCCACATGCTGTAAATCGAACGTTAATTATACTCAATATACGTGTTCTCCATCATCAAAGGCCTCAGCTATTCTCACACTAAATAGTTTCCGAGAGGGTGGTGACGGTGGTTTTGGTGGCGCATGCTTTGGAGCTTTTTATCCAGACACACAACGTGTTGTCGCTTTGTCAACTGGATGGTTTAATCGAGGTAGTCAATGTGGAAAAAGGATTACAATACATGGAAATGGAAGGACAACAACAGCTGAAGTCGTCGACGAATGCGATTCGGTACATGGTTGCGATGATGAACATGCTGGACAGCCTCCATGTCGTAATAACATTGTTGACGGATCGCCAGCTGTGTGGGAAGCACTCGGTGTGACGAAAAACGATCCACGATACGGACAGATAAGCATTTCATGGAATGATTAATTATTAATGTTGAAAATAAGTGAATATTAAACAATGGAAAATGATACCATTTATTTAATATTATCTTTGATAACCTTGAAAAAATAAAGTTCAATCCAATTATGAGAAAATTTTGTTGAGAAGAATCATAAATTCTATTTCAATCTAATCTTTTCATCTATTTTCCACGAAAAGTTTCTGCTGTACGTAGCTCATTGATCTTCATATGGTATTGAACTTGTTTTATCAAGAACTTTGTACACAAACGAAACAACACCTAATTCACACATCACAATCTAAGGATCTTCAATAGATAGTATCCTTGATAATCGCCTGATTTTTTTCTGATTGTATTATTTCAAAGATTTTTCTCCTGTAATCTTTAGTTAATGTGAAAACATAAGATATTTAAGTGGTTGACAGTTTTCCAAAAACTTTCTTGTTTGTCACATAAATGTAAATTAGCTTTTATTTGTGTACGTGCATCACTATTATATGGCTACTGTTCGATAGTAATAGAATTGTAATGGATTGATATAATTTCCTGATCTTTCGGTTACATAAGCCAACGTATATCTATCATATCGTTTGATGCAAACTTTACCTTCTACTTGAACGTTAGACTCATTTGTATAACTTTTGAGGGTAAAAATTTACTCTTATCGTATTAATACTGTTGACAATAACGGAGCATTTTGGCAATATAATGTTATATTACTTAACTTTCCTCGAATACTATGAGCTTGTGCTTCAATCATATTGTTTTGATTATAAGACAATGAATAAAGAAATTGAATCCAATCTATAAACATATCATCATTCCACGTAATTATTTCACTAAGATCATGCAAAAACTTGAAGTTTTCTGTTGATGAATAAACGAACGAATTATCTTCAGTACCACGAAATTTTTAATCAGCTTTGATTAATAATATGCCTAATGAGAATTGTTTGAAAATTTCATTTCAAAAATTAGATAAATCATCTTATTTTTCTCTTTTTCTCAATCTTTTATTTGATTATTAAGTTGATTAATTATCTAATTCATACTGATCTTCTCGCATCAAAAAGAAAAACTTAACACTCTTGATGTGCCTAGTTGAGTATGATTGAGAAAAACTTAGGCAACAGTGAAATTGATTCAGATAAGATTACAATGCCGACATATGGTCCAGTCTAAAGAAAACTTGTGCTGAACATGCTGTAGCGTGACGTCAATTTCAGTCACGTACTCGACAATTTAATTCTGAAATAAATAAATACTATTTTCACCCGTAAGTGTCGCGGCATCAAGCCATTGAATCACCATACAACTTAAAGATGTGGAGATCAGAGAGTGAATCGAACCGAGTTTTACTAGTTCGAGTTCGATTCCTCTTTGTTGCTTAAAAAAAAGTTCAGGTTCAGTTGGGTTCAATGTAGGTCTCTAGTGAGGGTGGGTTTCCATTGAAACGACACCTATACGCACATTTTTATATATCTAAAATGAAATACTTTTGCTTTTTTGTAAAATGAAGTATTGTTTGTGAGTTGGAGTTTTTCGTTCATTTTTATTCATGTGCAATCTTCATTTGTTTCTTAGAAAGAAATATTTTTTTTCTCTCTTCTACTTCTTTTTGTGTAACTCACATTTATGATTTCTTCGGATAATATTGATAAAAAATAGTAACAATCCTTTTCTGGAAGATTTCCAAAAATATGGCTAAATCTCAAATAAAATCATAATTTACTCATAACATTTTCTTTTCTGTACATCCTTTTCAATACACCCGAAACTATCATCGTACATGTCAAACTTGAAAGTGGAATTAAATTACTAAAGATTAAAACAAAATTTGCTCGCATAACTAACCTTTTATATCTACGTCGCGTCGTGGAGCATGAAACACTCCCCGAAGAACTATGATCCATGTTTGTCTTTGTGTATACAATAAAATCTATGTTTATTTTGTGTTTTGACACTACTGGAAAGAACGTACAGATTTAGCCGTATATGAAAAATATCAAGAGAACATGTAGAAAGAACGTAAATCTAAATGGATCAGACACGTAGGAAAATTGTTTTTTAATCGTTTTCAACCAAAATGATAAACCATACGGACTTCCATTTTGCTGACGATCGATTATCCAGCATTTTGACGTTTCGTCGCTACTTTTCATTTCGAACATCCGATGTCGTAGTCAGTTCCGAACGTCCGTTTTCTTCAAAAAATCATCATTTTTATGATAACAATATCGGATGTTCGGAATTAGAAAAATATAGATATTCAGAACGATCATCGAAACATAAACGGATGTTCGTAACAATTTTTAACAAGTGTTCGGAACAGCAACGATGCACATATTTCTGTTGAAGGAACGGGATAGTTTTAACGAATGTTCGTAATGAAAATATAGGGATGTTCGGAACAACAATAAACGGATGTTCGTGGAGTTCAGAATAGAAAAGAAGGGATGTTCGGAACGGCGATGTGCTTCTTTTATTAGTGCAGACTTTAGTTTCAGTTAACCTATATTCGGAACGGTCTTCTTGTCACCACACAGTACACAATATGTTAGACATATAGTCACAGATGTAAAGGGTGTACTGAGATATAAACTTCTATTCACTCTTATTCGAGGATGATTCGGCAAGGAATATTCCACTATCAAAACTCCCTGGCCTGTCCATTTGCTTCATCTTTTCATTATAAGAAATAAATGAGGTTTATTGAACAAAGAACAATATTCACAGATAGAAAGTCGAACTTTTAAGAAATACAATGGCACAAAGATAGAGACATTACAATAATAAATAAATAACAAAAAACAGTAAATCTCTATCACTTCTTGACTGATAGTATTATTTTTTTCGAGTTTTTACTCTCGACATTATGAGATCTCTTCTCCTTCATCTACCACTCTATATCGAAGTCCGTTTTTCACACTATTTATTTTGTCTCGAACATCCCTATGTTTGCGTTCCGAACATCCATTCTCTACCGTACGAACATCCGTTTCATTAGTTACGGACATCTGTTAGATTTTTTTTCGAACATCCATTGGAGGACGAAAATGTCAATTCCGAACATCCGTTCTTTATCTTACAAACATCCACTTTATTGGTTACGGACATCCGTTTAATTTTTTTCTGAACATCTGGTGTCAAATATGGATGTTCGGAATGACAGCGATGAAACGTCTGGAGGCCTCCTCAGTCATTCACCCACCCAAACACTCATTTCATCATCTTTTTGGAATTGTAAATTTCATCATTCAAGATTTGTTTAGAACATAGTCAATAGAATGAGAAAGAGTGACGATCAAAATAAAATGCTATTTTAACACTCATTATAAACAGAGATGTCATCGATTTCTCCGATGTTGACTTTTTTCTTGTATGTTCTCCTTATAATGCCTTAGTCACAAAAGAAAAACATGAAAAGTTTCGTTAATATTCAATGGCTTCAGATTAAAAAAATACTTCACCATCAATTAAAACTTGTTTTCGTGAAGTGTTCTGTTTGTTTTTATAAGACGCCATTGCTTGTCTCAATACAGTTGACAGAAATTCAGCTTCAGATTGCAATCTTACCAAGTGTTTCGTGTGACAGAAAAATTATTTCTGATGGACAAGAGTAAACGGTATCAAACAGATCAAGAAGACCCACGATCGAGCTATATCCATTCGAACAGCGATAACGATGCATTTCGAACTGTTGCAAACAATATAAATAATTGGATATACCAAATAGAAAAAACAATAGCACAAAAGCAGTTGCACATTAATACATTACCAGATCACTTGCAATCGAGACCTTATGGTCCTAATACAGCAAATTTTTATGGCTCTCGATCTTTAACAAGACAAGATTATGGAGGTTTGCCCTCTGGTGGCCTAGTATGTAGCCATTATTTTCTTTCGCATGAATTGTCTGAATTTCTTACTTGTTTTATGTGAATTTTTTGTTCTGTAGTTCATTCGATGTAGTGTGAATGAGAAACAGACATATAAAACTCTCATGCAGATGATCATCGATAATACAAACAAAAGACCTCGATTGATTGTCAGTTGTTTCGGTGGAGCTCGGTTCTTTTCCATGTCGGAAATTTTGGAGAGCGAATTTATGAATGGTATTGGTGCACTGGCAGCCAGAGATGTGCGGTCCACGGGGTTCACCCCGCGGGCCCCGCGGGGCCACGTGGCGACGGGCGGGCGGGGAAGAAAAATTTAATTAAACGCGGGATTAACGGGGCACGGGTATTTTCCGGCACACGGGCGGGCGGGGCGGGGAATCATTTTTTTAAATGACACGGGTCTCGGGCGGAGCGGGTATGAAATACACGGGTTCGGGCGGGTAAACATTTTTTTTCGGGTGTGATGAAAGATCGTCAAAACTTATCACGGGATGTCCTTAGTATAGGTATGTAGTACAAAGTACATATTGATTGGTTCATTACTTTCATCCTATTATGTACAAGATTGTCTACCATTTGTTTGTTTCTTTCTTTATCGTCTGTCATACGCAACTTCTACCATCAATTTATATTAAGTGAATAACTGGACTAAAACTTATTTTATATGTAGAATTATCGTTTGAATTTTTTTGTGAATTACTACTTAGGTCTGACCAAAAGTTCTGACAACATTATATAAAAATATAAAGATAAGGAGATATCTTTAATTTTATTTTATCAAATTTTGAGGACAGTTGCCATGATTATTTATACCAAGTTTGATCCTTTCCAACGATTAGTTAAAAGTTTTTTGAAGTTTTTTCGAAAAAAGTTTTAGGTATCATGGATACCGCATGAGTTAATCATATTTCATTTATTGTGAAAAGTTAGCAAAATCTTCTTCGATCATATCAGTTGCATTTTAGTACTGCTAGTGATGAGATATAGATTTATTTTAGATAGGTTAGTCATAAGTTATCCGATGCTGGCTGGCTTATTGAAGATGAATCGTCAAAGACTATTGTTCATGAATAAAGATTTTAGAAAATGCTTTGTTTGGTATATTCTTTAAATCAAATACTCCT